TTATTACTATTACCATTACAATTACTATCATAATAATCATCATCATTATCACTTCTTCAATAAATAAGGAACGAATTTGGTTTGTTTAAATGGAAATTTGTAACGTATAAAATTCAAATTTTTCATCCATTTATTTTGATTTAACGTTTTATAATTGAAAATTTTCAAAAATTTTCTCACTATTTTCCAACATTAAACATGACGAATTAGTTTTAAATTAAGTAAAAAACAAATAAAGTAATTAGAATAATTGATTGACAAATGTGATAAACTTTATTAATATAGTTTATTTATATATGTTTATAGTTCAACAAACTAAAAGCTTAATTTAATATTCTTAAATATATTTTAAAGAAATTTCACAACTGATTTTTTTTTCTAATTTTTAATTTTACAAAACTTTTAGTATTACTCTAATAATAACGTAACATTTAAAATATTAGTATTTCACCTCTATTTCATCCTGAAATGGATAATATAATTTCTTAAAAGTAAAAAATTCGTTATTACCCGAACAATCAAATGGTCGTTTATTTAAATGCTTATTTCCGTCCTTCTAACCAATAATTACCTTATGATCGTTTCTGGTAGTTAATGTTAAAAGCTTAAAAAATGATCTTTTTTTTATGTAAGTTGATTATAACATTTTATACTTATTTAATTTCTTTTTTTTTTTTTTTTTTTTTTCAGATATTTTTAATACGAAAGAAAAAAGAAAAACGAATTTCATATATGTTAAATTATTAATAAGTTGGTAAATTTATAGATTAAATTTTACTATTTCATTATTTTCACAGAGAAAAAAATAAATAAAATAAGAAAGAATTTATAGACTAAAAGAAATATTCCCGAGAGAATGAAAAAGAAATAATCGATCATTCTATACTACTACTACTACTACTACTCAAAAACAATGATATTAATTTTTATCAATTCAAATTTTCTCTCCATTTTTTTGTAATTAAGTTAACTTCATATGCTTTTTTCTTTCTTTTTCTAGCTTTTTCCATCATTTTTTTCTCTTAAAAGAAGAGAAAAATAAGTGTAATTGAATTTCTTGTTTATTTATTTTCTGTTTTTTTTTTCTTTTCACAAATTTGAAATCAAAAATGAAATATCTAAGAAGGGATTTATCATTTTTTATGGTGATAATGATTATGATATGATTAATCCTTTCTTCATACCACAAATTTCTTCATCGATCTTCTTCATCATCTATAGTGCATATCATGAAAAAGAGGACAAAGGTGACATCTAATCATCAACCAAACTAAGTGACACTACCGATGACATCAATCAACACTCATCAAAAAAACTAACCATTACACTTTTTACTTTCATTATAATTTCATTTCTTTCTAATCAAACATATTTTTAATACTATTATTGATGTATAATAGCTATACTTTGAATAAAGTTATTCTTATATACTTACTTTTATATATTTTTAGATTTACTTATATATGCATAGTTATTCAAATATTTTTGTAATACTTCCATTTCTTTTTTCTATCTTCCTAATAAAAGATATCTAATATTATTATTTGCTAGATAATAGTAATAATGTTTTAAATATATGCAATTATATTTGTATACTTCACTTAATTTTTTTTATTCTTAATAAAAGATGTCTAGTATTGCTGTATAATAATTATACTTTATTTAATTTCATTTTTCTTCGTTTCATTCTAATGAAAAACATCTCATATTGTTGTATAATAGCTGTACTTTATAATTATGATAATTTCATTATTCTTTTTTATTAATATTATCTGATAGTTAAATAAAACAAAAATTCTCGGATACTTAGATGCACCATAAATATAATAATTTTCATTTACCACAAATAAACTAATTCTATTATTTCATTTATAATACATGAAACAAATTAAGACAATTTACCATTGCAAAAAAAAAAGGATAAACTATGAAATAATTAATAAATAATCATTTATTGTAACATAAAATAGCTTTAACAAGTTAATTAAGAAAAGTAACTTAAGCAAATAATTAATTAATGTATTATATTATGTACAACAATTAGAATTTAATCTAAATCAAAGGAAAAAAAAAAACCTATTAAAAAAATGACTTATTAACAAGCAAATTATATTTACCCTAACTTATCATACTAATATTTACTATTTATTATGAAATAATTCGGTAAGTTAATTTAACTGGACAAATTTCAATTTGTAAATTATAATAACTTATTTTTTAATTTTATACTTCTTTTATTCATCTTTCTTCTCTTGGTGATTTATTATTATCTATTGATCAATCAATAAAACACATTTCCTCCTTATTAATTTATAAATATATCGAATTGTTTAAAAATCGCTTTTTTTCCTTTCATCAATTTTTCTTTTTTTTTTTTCTAATATTTATAAATAAAAAAGTAGTGGTTTAAAATGAAAATAAATTTTATATAATTCAAAGTAATATAGCAATAGCAGTTGATATATATATAAAGAAAAAAAAAACGCCTGTAAGCCATATGTGTTTATTTAAAGGATAGTAAAAATATAACAAAATGAGCCAAACAGATGTGAAATTTACTTTTTTTTTTCTCCTCCTTCTTCATCAATCGAAAATGATTTTTCTCGAGATGGAATGAATGGAGGAAAAAGGAAGAGAAATTTGAAGAAAAAAAAAAGGAAAGAAAGGGAAGAAAAAGTGAGAAAGAAGTGAAAAAGTTTGATAGGAAATTACATCTTACACCAATAAAAATTTAAAACAGTTTACCCTCCCATATTTGTGCTTATTATTTCAATTTAAACTTATTAATATTTATTAAATAAACTTTTTTTTTTTGAGTCTTTTCAGTAAATGATAACATTTTAATGCAAACTTAATCTTCCTAATATTAAGATGATAAAAGAAAAGAAGAATTTTGTTTTGAATTAATCGTGAAATTATAAACCAAATTTTAAATATATATTTGAAATATTACATTTTTAGAAAAAACGTGAACTTTATATTAAATACCAAAATTTCACAGTGATAAATATGATAATTTTAGTGATAAATTCATTTTTCAATCTCACTTAAATATTCATTCAGTTATCTTACAATTGTGTCTGTCATTATTGATTTTTGGAAATTTGAAAAATGCACTCAAAATCAGTAAATCTTTTCATTCTCTTCCATTTTCCTTATAAAAGCATTATACAACTTTTTGCTCGCTCATTTGTCCCTGATTTTCGGTCAGTATCTATCTGATTTGCTTTCTTTCTTCAAACACACAAACACACATATCTAAAAAAGGGAGAAAAAAAAATCGGCTAACCTTTGACCTTGCACATCAATTAGTAAACCTTAGAAATGTATATACAGCTATTTATACTTATTCATATTGAAGTATTCACTTACTTACTCATACATTCACATATTTTTCTTCTCAAGCCATTAAACAGTTCATTCACATTAATTGAAATACTTACTTATACGTTCACAATTTTTTTTTCTCAAACAATTAAACAAGTCATTCATATAATTTGAAGTACTTACCTACTTATTTACTTATATACTCATCTACTTTTTCCCAAACTATTAAACAATTCATTCATATCACATCACAGCAGGTGAATCTTCAGTCAAAATGTGAAAACAATTTGTAGAAATGAAATAAATGTTTATCACTTCATCATCATTATCATCATCATTCTTTATTCATTATCATTTATTTAATATTATCATTGTTTAATCCACTTCATAATACATCGCTTATTAATTTTTCCATTCACAAATATCTTTCAAACATTCTTCTTTCTTTCCTCTTTTTTCAACATATGAATGAATCATCAAGAAGTAAAAATATCCAACTAAATTTCAGAGACAACCATTATTACATTACATCTATTACACATATATATCAGTATTCAGGAAATAAATAGGATATCCGGTTAGTATATATCACTTCTGAATGGATAGATTTGATTCGTTTGGTAATTTCCGACTACCAAATTACTATTTAATAACGATTCATTAAGTTTTGTGGTTATTTCCATTTTTTTTTTTTCTCCTTTTTCTCCTAAAAAAAAGTTACTAATCAAAAAAATGCAAAAGTTTCGTTCCATCTTTTTCCGTTCCTATACTTTAAACTTGACAATATTTACCTTTCTAGCATAATACCATTTCTGTTCACTTTCTTATCTCACCCATATTTGATTCCCTCAGCAGAAAACAGGTTTCATCCTCAGATACAATCAAGAAATTTCTTTCATTTCTAAGCTTAGTAATACCAGCTTATATGTCACTTAGCAATTTGCTGTTTTCCTTAAATTTTGAAATATACAATTTTATATTATTGTGCTTTTTTTCCTTTAAATTTTAAAACTTTAAAGTAATGTCGCTAATGTATACATTATTATAAATCTTCATAATTGCAAAAATTAACAACTTTTTTTATTGATAGTAAGAAAAAAAAGACAGGTGAAAAATAAAATTTCACATAATTTTTAAATTCCACTATTTTTCTTATCAACAAATGATTAAGGATAACAATTGATCGTTAACTCTTCTACAAATAATTAATTAGCAAAATTATCAAAATTATGATTAATTTGAATGATTACCATCTCTCATAATTTTTTTTATGAAGTTTCCTTTGTACCAAATGTGCCTTTTACAATTACCTTTCTCTCTCTCCCTCTCTCTCTCTCTCTCTCTCTCTCTCTCATTTTAATATATCCATTCATAAAGTAATAGCATACAATGATAATTGAAACAAATTTATTTCATCATAATTCCTTTAATATTTCATTAAAATCTAAATTTCCCTCAAATTATCATGGGTAACATCACCTCTCTACCCTTCCTCTTTCTCTTCCCCTTTCCTTTTCCCTTTCTCTGATCTCATTTTATAAATTTCACTCCCTCCTTTTTACCCTTGCTACATATTCTCTACATCAATTTACACATGCATGTACAAACCACATCTCTCCTAATTTCTCTCTCATTCCTCTTTACAACAACCCGCACTTGCAATTTTCCCATCCTCATTCCGTACCCACCCACCCACCCATACCCATACCCGTCCCCTCCCCCTCCCCCTCCTCCTCCTCCTCCTCATCTATTGTTGCTATCATTTCAACTTCTACTACAACACCACATTTAGGCAATTGTGACCATTTCTCAACTAACTTCATTCATTTACCCTCTTCCGCCCCCTCCCCTCCCCTCCCCTCATCCCATATTATTCACAGCTTTTCTCTCCTTTTTTGTTAATATGATACTTAATTACTCGATTTATTCAATTAATCCTACATTCCTTTAATAATACATATATCATTTGTCTTCCTTTTAATATATTACTTCAATACTTACTGCATATTGTTTTGAATTTAAAAGTAAAAGTTGTTATAAGAATTTTTTATTCAGTTTATTGTATATTGTTTATTTATGCCAAGTTGATATGCAGATTATATTAATCTAAATTAAATTAAATTAAATAACTGACATTTATTATTGTTAATCTGTTATTTATTATTCATTAATTATTATTAATTTATCACTTCATGATGTTTTAAACTTTAATAAATCGTTTCTTTTTCTTCTTTTCAAACGATCGTTAAACATTTGAAAGATTATGCAAATTATTAATCTAAATTAAATAAAATAACTGATAATTTCAATTCAAAATTGACTGTAAGTTAAATAACATTAATTAATTGATGTAAATGAAATTAATAAAAGAACATATATATAAATATATAAGTAAATGAATAAATAAATAAATAAATATAGTGAGAAATATATATAGTTAATATGAGGTTAATGATGTTTGCAAAATTGATTAAAGCGCCACCTTTTAGATATCCTTTGGTCCTTTTCCACCCATTTATTTTCTCTTCTGTCCATCAGTTGACCACCTGCGGTGGATGGATTTGGAAAATAGGTTCAGGTTTAGCTAATCAGTTATTTATTCAACACATTTAGCATATAAATCATTTCTGCAAACATAAAACTGTTATAACATAGAAATTTGATTTAATATTTAAAAATTGAACATTCTTTTTTTGTCTAATTTTATATTTCATATTTTATAAACAAAGAAAAAAAAAACTCTTCAAGTTGTCATTCTTGAATTCTTTCAATTTATGTAAGTTTAAATCTTTTTTTAAGAAAAAAGAAACTTTAAGCTCTTAAATTTGCTCGCTCTAAAAAGAAAAAAGCAAATCTTTTCAGGTGTTCTAACAATTTTTTTGTCCTTCTAAAATAAATCTCAAGTTTATTAATTTATTTTCTGCTGAATTTGTCCAGTAATAAAGTTGAAAACTATACAGAGTCAATTATTATTTAATCGATTAGGATTTGTTCCACATTCTCATTTCCCATTATAAACCGAAACAGGAACAGTTACCAATAATTGCATGATGTTATTGTCATTTTTTATTGTCATTAAAATTGAAAATCGACATTAATGAAAAAAAAAAAGGTATGAATAGTGTGAAATTAATATTAACAGCAAAAATTTTAGGACTTTTTGCGGGTACTTTTATTAAGGTATGGTAAAAATTTTTGTATCATTATTATTATTGTTAATTAATTAATGTCACTATTATTACTGTTACTATTTTAGTAATTTGGATATTAAATGTATTTATTTATTTTATTATTTTTCGATTTTTGCTATCCAAATTCTATCGAAAGTAACAATTAGCTAGAAAAAGTGGGTAAAAATTCATAGTTTTTTTTGAAAAAAAAGTATCTTCCACATAGCTAATTTTATGCTAAACGATGTTTACATTCGTTAAATTCCAACTCAAATTTTAGATTTATTTTTTTCCTAAGTTTTCAAGAAAAAGAACTTTCCCTATAATCTATTTCAGATATTTCTATTACGATACATTCAGCACTATTTACTCTTCTACTAGTTATATTTACCATCCTAATTTAATAAATTACCACTAGTAGATTATTACAATTTATCATATCAATTAATTACTCATTAACTATCTGCTTTCCCTTATCATATCAGTTCAATAAGTCTCATATCTTTCTTTGCAAGAATTTTTTATGAACAATTAAATATTTTACCCAAATTAGTTTGCTTTTGTTTACTCTTTTTTATACATATTTTACCTTCCTTATTTCACTGTTTTTCTTCATCTTCGCTTACTATTACTTTGCTATTTACTAAACAAAACATGCAAAGTTATAAATTAATAGTTAAATGACATCAAATAGATTAGATTAGACTGAATAGAGAAGAAATAATTAGTTCTAAGAGACAAGCGATAAAGCAAAAATGCTTTATCAAACAAATTGTTAATTATCAATTTGTATTCCTTTTCTCTACTGCTTACGATCTCATCCTTAATTAAAATTCTTCATTTCTATTCTTTTTTTTTTTTGAAATTTTAACAAATGAAATTTCCAATGAAATTCATCCAAAAACAACGAATAAATCGAGATATCACATTTATTATTACTATTAGAAATGATTTTTTTTTTTTTATTTAATCGACATAAAACAAGAAAAAATGAAATGAAAAGAAAATATCGAATGAGTTCATGAATTGTAATAAGAAATAAAAAAAAAAAAAAAAAGAGGAAAAAAAGCATTGAAAGAGTAAAAAGAGAAAGAGAAGATTAACGATTTGAATGAAAAGGACAAAATGAGAAGAATAAGCTTAATGATATGATCATTTAGAAATAAAAAAAAAAAATTTCATTTTCAGTAAATGAAAAAATGAAGTCTAAATCAACTCAGTTTGTCTAATTTTTGATATAAATTTAGATAATTTTCAATTCTAATGCATACATATATTTATTATGTAAACAAATAAACAAATTGAGATTTTTGAAATAATTAAAACAAACAAAGAAGTACATTCATTAAACAAGGCATAATAATGACTGGGCCATATTATGGAATCAATTAATCGAAATTGAAACTTCTCGAATTTTCAACTTTACGATTATATATGTATGTAAGAAATATGAAACATTTACAACTTTATTTCATTTGGTTGGAAAATTAGATGAATACATGTATATTTGTATTATGCAAAATGGGCCAAACGATTCGTTGGCGCAAAATGATGGATGATAGGATGAAGAAATGAGAGAGAAAAGAACTTTAAATTGATTGTAATCGATTATAAACTGATTTGATAGTATGTTATAATTATAATACAGTCATTTAACTAATCAATTCACATAAGTGTTGTAAGAAAAATTAATTTCGAATTTATTTGTTTTATTTTTTTTTTTTTTTCTTTTCAATTTTATTTCTAATAAATGACAAGGTAAATAAACAAAAAAGAAAAGAAAAAACATTTGATATATATAATGTTGAATAAAATATGTTATTGGTGCTTGCTTTTTTTTATTAGTAAAATAAAAAATGGATACTTGAAATGTTAGAGTATAAATTAGATTATTAAATTTCACGATGTATTATAAAGTTTTTATCATTTATATTTTATTCATTATTCATAACAATTTTTCCTTTTTTTTTTTTTCACTGAAATATGGAATGTAAAAGTAGTAATAAAAATTTTTAATTTTACATATGAAAAGAAAAATAAAGAGTTGTTTAATTTATTTCTAATCAAATATTAGGTAATTAAGAGAATGGAAGAAATCTTCCATTTCCCTTTTTATAATCAAATTATGTTAATATGTTATCAAATTTCAAACTTATCTTCCAAAATTAAATGCTTTTTTTTTCTTGTTGCTCAAAAACACATAATAACTTACTAGAATTGTTACGAAGTTTTGGAATAAATTTAGCATAATTTATTAAAAATATAATTTCAATGAATTTGAAGAAAATTATTGGTTATTTCAGCTAAATTACTTATTTAAATGTTTCGTAATCAATCAATTAATCAAATTTTGAAATAGAAAAAAATCATACAAAACAACATTCAATTATAAAATCGTTTTATGAAATAAAAAATGATTTAAGTATGAGATGTATTAATAATGAAAATGATTATATCATTGAAAAAAAAAATATGATCAAATTTTAATTCTTCCATTTCCATTCGCATAATTTTTATTCATTTCTCAACAATACTCCTCCAATAAATTTGCATATTTCATAAGCTTTTCATCATCTCCAATAACCACCAGTAGTATCGGCTGTTGCAGTAATAGAAGTAGATGATTAATAATAAATGAATTTTAAATTAGGACAACCACTCCTATCGCCTTTTGCGCTCTCCGATATTCACCGCACCTCTTCTTTTCACAAAAAAAAAAAAAAAAAAAAAGAAAAAGAAAAACCAAAATCATTAATTCGACTGCCTTCTTTCCTGCCAGTTGTAGTTAAGTAATGATGTAGCACTTAGTCTTATCCAATCATTTATTTCTATCATTCAAATCAATCATTACTGATAAGCAATCATTCATTCCTTATCTATTATTTTTCGCTTATCAGTTGTACAAGGTTATACATATACCTCATTTCCTCATTCTTATCAATTTGTTTGTTAATAAGAAAATAAAAGCTATCATAAGTATATAGTATTATTATCATCAATTTTATTAGATGATATTATTTATAACAAAATTTCTTTCAGCTCGTCTAATAATCATTAAAAAAATTTTTTTTTTTTTTTTTTGAAAATAAAATGAAAAATTACATTTTTTAAATTTTTTGATATCTAAGAAATTTTTAATTGATTAATCCATTTTCAAAAAGATTTATTGGATTTATATATTTTCAAGGACCATTGAATAACTGCTTTCTCTCTCATTCTTCTCCCATCATTTGCCTCATATTTTCCACTGTAAAAATGTTATCAATTTTATGTTATTCGATAAAATTAATTAATCGATTATTATTGTTAAGTTTTATTGGATAATAATTATCAATTAGTATTTTCATTCCTTTTTCTTTAATTTTATTCATCATTTGCATATCAATTATTAATCTTTTCTTAATTTTTTAATTTTTAAGACGGTTATTTTACCTTATTTACAAAAAAAATTTATTATTTATTTATCTTTCAGAAGCGGTCATTTCATCTAAAAAGCAGAAGAGAAGATGCCGAAATAAAGGAAAGAAATTACTAAAAGAGTTCACTTTTCGAGCTCTTCTATACTTAATTACTTACTTACTTACTTATTTGATTACTTATATATTAGGAATATGGATGTAACGGATTCCCACATACTGCTTATTTTATTGTATTACTATGTACAGCCAGTTGTAAATATTAGAATCAATCATTTCGAATGTCCAAGACGGTATAATTAAAAAATTTATTGCAAAAAAAGAAAAAAAAATTAAAAGTATTTTATAAAAAAATAAAAAAAAAAGCAAAAGGAAAATTGAATAAGTAAGAAAACAAAATTCATTTCTTTATTATTCATAATTTTTGAAAATAAAATAAAAAGAAAAGAATGGTAGAATTTCTTTTTTAATATTTTAATTAATCATTGTAACAGAATATTTTGTAATTTTTTAAAATTATTATATAACTAAATAACAAAATAGAGAGAGAAGCGAGGAATTAGTTGCAATTAACTGAGTATTTTAGTTTCATTTTCATAAATCTTTTTTAATTATTAATTTTTTTAAAAATAATGATAGCAATAATATTTTATTAATAATTACAATAATTCATTTAAGATGCACCTGTGTTCCGGATGTAGCTGAACAGGATCGTTTTATTATAAGTTGTAAATGGTCATCAACATCAACATCAACAACAATAACATCCGATAATAAATGGAAACAAGAAATATTCGCTCAATTTCCATTAAATATTACAAAAACTCTTAGTATCGAATGTGATGACAATGATTCGCTATCAATAACATCGATTATTTTTGATGAAAATTTATTTAGCCAATTTAATAATTTACAACATTTACGAATACAGGTATTCCATTTTATCATTTATTACTGCCGTATTTCTATTTTTAGGAATTATTTATCAGTACATTCAACTTTTTTAACATAATTTTTAGATTAGCAAAATAAGAAAGAAAAAAAAATAAGATTAAATATTGGTAAAATCAATCAACGAATAAAATAGATGTAAAAATATTTAAAATGAAATTAAAATTATTCAAGAATTAATCATTTAATTCAAAATAAAAATTTTCAAACTTATTTATATAATTATTTCAATTTATATCAATAAATTTAGCCATAAATCAATTAAATGCACATTTTTTCAATCTTCTTTTCATCTAAAAGATTAAAACAAAAAGAAATGAAAATTTGACATATTTTTATACTTACCTATTCATTTATTGATAGATATTAATTCTACTATTGTAGCTGATCCGATAGCCATCGTCATCGTTTGATTGAATCTTACTTATCCTCAACTGTCGATAATATTTTCAGATTGCTATCCCAATTACCTGTCTCTTTTTCTCTTTCCCTTTCTCTCTCTCTCTCTCTCTCTCTCTCTCTCTCTACGCTTATATTCTCATATAACTCCTTATAATCATTAATTGTTATCCTTATTATTCAAATATATTATTATAAATCATTCTTAACTTTTCCCACTCCTATATTTATATATATTATATAAAATTTCTCATTCCATTCTGTCAACCTATTTTCTCACGAAATATAGTCAAATAATTTTTAAAAATTATAAAATTTCCCACAGAATATTCAAATTTCCAAAAAAAAAAAAAAGAAAAAAGAAATGAAAAATCTTTAGTGAAATAAATATATTTATTAAGAACGAAAAAAAAAAAGAAGCTGTAAATTATTTAAAATAATAAAATCGTGCAAATTATTTCTTTATAAGAAAACAAAAAAAAAAAAGAAAGAAAATAAAGAGATATGAATTGAAATTATTACTTCAATAACTATTTTCAGTTTTCAGTCATTTTTTCACTACTTTCGGAATTTTCATTTTATCTTAATTTTGCTTACTTTTTTTTTAATTTATAATTGTTTATTTATTTTCAAAACGTCTCCATTTAATATTTATTTACATTTTCCTAAATTTTTACTTCTCGCACTTTTTTTTTTCTCATTTTTTGATGAAAACATTTTTTATTTACTTCTCATTTTGTCCGCAAGAAATTTATTTTTGCAATGTAATCGGAAATTAATGAAGCAAAAAGACCATGTAGGAATGAGAATTGGGAACAAAATTTATAATCTCCTCTAAGGATGTGTCCATTTTACACATTTTACTTTGATCAAAGGTCATTCAGTTAGTTAGTAGTACTAGTAGTAGTAGTAGTAATAGTTGTTGTAGAAGTGTGATAAAGTCCCTCAAACATCCATACATCATTTCTATAATGAAAGAAAAATTATTTCTCAGGTTAATTACATATACTAGACATCTCTCTCTCTCTCTCTATCCCTTCCCATATTCTCTTATTCATATTCTTTGAAGTATACAACAACAAAAAAAAATTATCAAAAAAATTTATTAAATGAAATGAGAATCAATTAATTTAGTCAGTCATTCATCTAAAATTCCTAAGTGAAAGAAATAAAAGGAAAAAACTAATAAATATATGAATAAATCAATGATATAAAATAATTGAGCAAAATCTATGAAAGAATTAATTGAACAAATAATCCAAAAACAATGAAATAATTTAAAAAAAAAAAAAAATTAATTAATAGAGATATAAGGAAATTAGAAAATAAAATTTCTCATAACATAAATATTAATAAAATTGAATTAAACTGCTATTCTTTTCATTTTAGAAATGTCGCACACATGCTTTTCCTAATTCGTTACTACATAAACTCAGTAATTTACGATCGGTATATTTTAATCAATTAAATGTTCCGGATAAAAAGCTCACTTTACCGGATCAATTTTTCCTGAATAATAAACGATTGGAAAAACTCACCATTGTGGACTGTAATTTGGAAGCTTTACCTGATACATTACTCTGTGATAGTCCTTATATTCAGGTAATAATGATAAGTTTAACAGACAAATAGGTAAAAAATGAATTTAAAATTAACAGTTGAAAGTGTACATAAATAAAGAAAAGAAAAAAAATTTATTTTTCTTTTCCTTAAAAAATTTCCTTTTCTCTCTCTCTCTCTAAAATGTTTGATAAATTGTAAGAAAGAAAAAAATATAAATATTTGATTTGCTTCTTCTGTAAATTAATGTTTATTTATCAATTTTTTTTTCATTTTCTAATATGCTAATTATTTATGCATTCAATTGTTTTGCTTATTAATTTACTTATCATATATCACCTCTTTTTCATTATTAAAAAAATAAGTTAATTTAATTTTTTTACAAAATTATTAATTGTTTTCCTAAATTTTTATTTAATTTATTTGGCTAATTTCATCATTAATTTACTCAAATAATAATAATTTCTATCTATTTCATTTGCATCCTTCTTCTTTACAGGTGATAAATGTTTCACATAATTGGTTACGAAGTGCTCGTTTAAGTATCAATGCCGATGATGTTAATAGTGATAATAATGATAACAGTGCTGGCTCATTAGTTAAATGTAACAATAAAGCGGAGCAATTGATAATCATCGATTTGAGCTATAATCAAATTCGATCAATTACTGATAATGATTTAATACAATTTGTTGCAATACGACAACTTTTATTAGCCAATAATCAAATTAGCTTTATTAATCGTAATGCATTAAAAGCTTGCGCACTGCTACAACAATTACATATTGGAAATAATAATATCGAAGAGTTACCTATTATGCCAGGTAAGAACGTACATATATTCTTTTCTATGTTATTTTTTTTTAGAAAATAATATAATTTACTAAAAAGTAACAAACAAAGAAGTAATTTAGATATACAATTAAGAAATGAATATAATTTATTTCTAATTTTTAATTGAATATCTAATTACTCTTTTATTTGATTATTACGATAAATAAAAAAAAAAAATGAAATAATAATTATTTAAATGAAAAAGAAAGAGCAATCAAAAAAGATAAGAATTAAATAATTGTTCCCTTTTTTTTTGGAAAGTAAATAAAGTAATAAATAAATATGAATATAAATAATGATATACTTACTAATTACTCTAACAATCTAAAGTTATGGTAATGATAATGAAACGTAGATAAATGACCTCGAATGAAACTTAAATTTTTCTTTTCATCATCGATAATCAAACGAAGATGCGATGCCTATCTTTTCGTTTTAAACATGCAATTAACTAACCATTAAAATAGGTTGTGAATGAGAAATAAATTAAACAGTCAAATGAAACAGCAAACAAAATAATAATTATTGGAAATTGAAGCAAAATTTTTTTTTAAAGATAGATAAAATAATGAAGTAATTATTATTCAAATGAAAAAAGAATAAAAAAGAAAAAATAGATTAAAATATTAATAGTAATAAAATAAAAGAGTAACAATTAAAAAAGTTTAGATAAATTAGGATTAATTATATAAGCAAAATAGAAACTGGTAAGTGTATGGAAAATCAAATACAACAAATAATTAATGAAGTGAATTAAGTTGTTGAAAAAAAAAAAAAAAATGAATTAAATAATAAAATTAATGAATAAATCGAATGAATGAGAAAAAAAATAATGAATAAAATAATTTTTTTTTTTCGTTTTCTTTTCAGAAACATTAATTCATTTGGATATTGCCTGGAATCATTTAAGTATTATTCCATCAACAATAGCTAATTTACCAAATTTATTATTTTTGAATCTCAGTGGAAATGCTATCGATGCAAATACTCCATTTCCTATTATTAGTAAAACATTAGAAACGATTGATCTCAGTCGTAATCGTCTTGAATTTATCCCAGAAAATTTATTTTTGCATTGTTCTCAACAACTGCAACATTTATCACTCAGTTATAATCGGATTACACAATTGGAACCATTATTTTTTCAAAATTATTCAAATTTACTAGTGGTAAGTTTAATAAACAATTTTGTATTATTCAATAAATATTTTCTTTATTTATTAGTTTAATTATTTACTTAATTTATTGTTGGTGCATATTTCTCATTGTTAAGATTAATTGAAGTACTAGTTTAAATGAGTTCAACTCTCGCTTCATCTTAATCATTTAAAAAATAAAGTAAAAAGAAAACTTATTCTTTTCCATCTTCGAAAAAAAATCAAAGAATATTTTCCAATAAGCAATAAAATTTTAAAATAAATCAAAAATTAACTTCGTTTAACCTTGTGCTCTTTTTTTCCTTTTAGAAAAAAGAAAAATTAGTTAAAAGAAACCCTCCATTTTTTCTCTCCTCTCTCTCTCTCTCTCTCTCTCTCTCTCCTTCTCTCCCTCTTTCAAGATGATTTGAGTAGCATCCAAATAGGCGCAATTAATCAGTTTATAGATCTAAACAACTTACATTCTTTTTTATATGACAGTAAATGTATTATGTTCCCCATAATTCTTCGCTTCTTCATTCATTTAAAATGAAAAACCGAAAATCCTAAAATCGATGTGAATTGCAAATTTGAAATTAAATCCAACATTTACACAAAATTGTTTCAGAGTTCAAGTAAGAATAGATATTACTTACGATTTTGTTGCAAAAACTTTCTAAACTTGGAAAAAATTTCTTCCAGTCAATTAAATCTATACAATAAATTATAGATAAGATTATCTAAATCAATTAGCAAAATTAAAATCCTTAATTTGTCAGAATAAAACAGTTTTAAATAGTTGTTAAGCAATATTCATAGTTGGATATATCATCAAATATTTGCAAAATTAATTAGGAGAATTAATTTTGTTTCAGAAAATTAATTTTTATTGTTTCATTCTACTTATTGCTATCAAGTACATGTGGTATTTTGCTATTAATTATTATTATCATTTTATTATCTTTTGAAATTATTATTAGTTATTATTTCACTACTATTATTATTACTACCACCATTATATAACCATTATTTTTGAGTTTGTCTTTCCATTACTAATTTAATTTACTCAACGATAATATGTTCCCAACGCCAAATCAAAAATATTAAACTTTTATTCTCATCTGTCACCCTTTTTTCAAAAAAATTATTCAAATACTTTTGCAAGTGAAAAAAAAAGAAAGACCGATTGTTTACTTCTTTTTAGAGATCAAATGTAAACAAACGGTTGACACCTAACATAATCATATTAAAATATATTTGCATTAATATAAAAAAAATAAAATTATTCTTTTCCTTATTTTTGACTTAATTTTTCCGTATATTACGAAAAGAAAAGAAAAGGAAAGAAAGGAAAAAAGTAAGCAATTATATTTAGAATGTCAACAATTAGATCTTTTATGAAAGAATTTTAAAAAAAAAGCAAATAAAAGGAAATAAAGGATGAATTATTAAAATTAAAAGTGTTTAGAAATGGTTATGGATTTAAAATTAAGAAGCAAACTTTATCCATAAACAATTATATTTGAACTAATTCATTAGGCAAACACCAACGAAAAAATAATAACTCGTTATTAAGTTTAATAAATAATTAATATTTTAGAAGAAAATTTTGATCAGTTTTTTTTTAAGTATATAAATTAAAAAAATTTATCTAAATATTTCAACTGATTGCATAATGTTTCACTTCTAAAATATTCATTTGTGAAACAATAAAGTTATTATTCAATTCAATTCATTTCACAATTTTTTGGATAAAAGCTATGATTCTTTTTTCATTAAAAGTAATAATTTGCTTTTTTTTTCTATTTTTTTTTGGATTGCGTTTGCCTAATTAAGTCTTTAAATTTAATTATTTACTTATAAAATTAATTTTTTCTTCATTTCAAATCCATAATCCAACATATCAAATATTTATTGTTTCTTAATTTTTTTTTCAATTTTTTTGAAATATATCATGTTTTGAAGAATGCAGTGATGATTGTGAGAAAAAGATATAAAAATTAAAAAGAAAAGAATATAAAGTATGTATTGCTTTATTATATTTATTTATTTATTTGTTATTATTATTGTTGTTGTTATTATCAAAATTATTATTATTTATTATCACCACTATTTATTAATTATTCCAAAATATATATTACTTTCTTTTATATGATGATTCAGAAATCTCACTACTTGAATTCTAATTAGAATTTTAAGTGATAACTGATCAAGTTTTGAGTTATTTTCTTAATGTAATTTAATTCCTAGTATAAAGTGTATCTTTTCCATTTCCAATACATTTATTAATATTCCTAATTTAGTCATAAGACAAAGAGGATTAAAAACATTTGTACATTTCTGTTTCCGGTAAATGAATCATAAATCCAGAAGAGAGGCTTATAAAAATGATCGGAATTCAGCTTAACGCTATATTACTGAGAGTACTTCAATAAGAGATAAAACTCATGTGGTAACATATTTTAATAATATATTTCAGTCATCAATATGCAATTATTACATCTATTTAGGGTTGTTTACATGTGAATTTCACATAAAGTAATAAATAATAATACTAATAATAAAATAATCTGATACGGTAATAATCCATTTCGTCTGAGAATTTTAGGTCATATGAAACTGAATAATAATTATTATTATTATTATCTTTTCTTCTTTTTTTCCTCACTTTAAACTTAATATTTAATCAGTAATATTTAAAAGATATATAAATATAGTATGCAGATTTTTCCTATTAAATAGACAAAATTTTCAAATTTAGCTAATTAGTTTTAATTTTTATAAAATATTTTGATGTAACATTTCGATCTGTAATGTATATAATAATAATAACACTCTTCTCTATAATCTAATAAATAATAATGTGTATGAATTTACATTATACATATTATCCAAGGTCATTTCCAAGCGGACATTGTAAATATAGAAGAATTAAGAGGACATATCTGGATGACACAAGATGACCTAATCAAACTTCCTCCTTTCTTCATTCATATCTCTTCTGTGTGCAATTTTTCATTTCCATTCCCTTTGATCCCTCTCTCTCTCTCTCCCTCTCTCTCTGTCTCTTTAATCAAATATGCATAGATGTATGTATGTAAAACTCTATTTATACCTAATTTTGAATGCATATCATTTTGAAAAAATTTTTCAATTACATTTATCAATAAGATATCATTTAAATTACATCCATTTTATTCTAATTCATCTCCGTTCCTCACTAAAACTAATTAACAGAACTTTATGAAAAAAAAAAAAAAAAAAAACGAACTTTTTATTTTCTCTTTCTCTGATAAAAATTTAAAACTATTTTCATATAATATATAAAATGAAATGAAAAGAAGAAATTTTTATTTGTAAAATTGTCCGAAGAACAATTATGGGAAAAATAACCTTGAAAATTTGTTCAGTAAGAAAAATAAATTAAAGGAAATATCTAAAAAGTTAGCAATAAACTGCTACATTTATTAAAAAAGAAGAAAAAGACAAGCGTTTTGCGGTAAAAAACTTCAAAGAAGGATCTGAATTTTTTGTAAAAACTAATTTCAATGAATTATTTGACTAAGTTAAAAATGATTTCAGCAAGTAAAAAGTAATTTCAATATGCAAAGAGTAGTTTGAGAAAAGTAAAAGGTAATTTGAATAAGTTATCTATTATATCTTTTTAAAGCACAGTGTGTAGAGAAGAAAAAATAACTTTTAGGAAAACATTACAACATGAAATAAAAAAATTTTAAATATGAAATCTAAGACTGAAACGTGAATTTGAGTAATTAATTGGAATAAGTAATGAAAAAGTTACGTAAAAATTGTAATTGAATCTGATTAATTCTTTTAGATTTACTCAAAAAATATTCATTGTTATAAGATACTAGATAATATAAAATAACATCAGAAGAAAACCAAAAAAATAATTTAATTATAATTAATTAATTTCAGCTTGATCTTAGCTCCAATCGAATAGCAGAAATTGAAGAAGAGAATTTACAAGGTTTAATAAGTCTAACTCATTTATATCTATTCAATAATTCAATTTATCAAGTTGATATGGGTACATTTGAAACAACACCACAACTACAAGAATTACACCTTGGTAGAAATTTACTAATCGAAGTACCATTTGCATTGGGACGTTTATTCAAACTTCGCTACCTTGATTTATCAAATAATCAAATCAGGTAAATGTTTCACCTCCATTACATTTTTTTGTTTCACCAAATTTTTCTCTCACTTTCTAATTTCAAATTTATGATCAAAGCTATTGACTTTTTTAATTTTCTTTTTGTTTAATTTTTTTGACAGTAAGAAAGTTCCTTAAACAGCCTATATAATTAGCTAGATCAGTCTATTATTATTATTATTCATTTCAATTTTAATGTATTGAGAATTATTCTTATAATTAGTTATATGATATCTTAGAATTATGATAAATGAAAAGGTTAAACTATAAGGAAAAGATTTATTATACTTTTTTGGGCCTATAATTGAGAAAATTATTCTCTATTCATAGCTTTTATCAATGTAACAGAAATTTTTACGCCATTTCTAATTAATTTTTTGTCATCCATATTTTTCAAAAAAAAAAAATAAAATAAATAAATGAAGTGTGATATGATAATCATTAACTAATCATTTAATCAGTGATTAGTAAGTTGAATAGAGTAATTGAATTTGCTTCTGTCTGTAACTGATCCGAAGTGATCCGATGTATCGGAAGCAAAGGATCATTCATCATTTGCGCATAGATTGATGATAGTTCAGGATGGCATCGACCGCTTCTCTTCCTTTCAAATCAAATTCAACAACAAATAGCAAATTGTAAAAGACGGAAATTAGAATGATTGGGAATAAAGCATACTTAATAGACAATAAGATAAATTACTTATAATCAATTTCAAATTTTTAAAAAATTTAAAATTTCTAGAATTTGGCTTACTGCAATGAATTAAAAAAGAAAAAAAGCTTATGGAATATTAAAAGATCTAAAGAAGAGCTCTAATTAATTAAAAATATGTAAAAATAGAAAGAAATAAAATTTAAAAAGTATTCCTCTATTTATTATTCATTTTCATTGTTGTTTAATTTCATAATTTTTATCATTACTCTAAGTCTAATTTTGCAGTAATAATTATTAAATTAATCTAAAACCCTAAAGAAACAGATATAATTTTATATAATTTAAATTTCTTGAAAATTTGCTTCAAGTTTAGAACATATCAAATCATTTATTTATTTTTTTGTTTTCAGCAAAACTTATAAGTTTCTTTTCAACAAATTGCCACATTTGCAAACGCTGAATTTTTGCAAGAATAAACTTACAACGGTAAATTTTCAATTTATTTTATTATACATTTTTTTTTTTTGTTTGAAATTACTTTTCTAGTGAATGATTAGGAAAATGATTAAAGAGAAAAAAAAATGAATTATTTAAATTTTAAATTTGCTCAAAAAATTATATTTTCTAAAAATTGGAACATATGAAACTTTCTCATTTCTTTTCTTCTCTCTCTCTCACTCTCACTTTTCCTTTCTCAAAATTCATCCATTGTTGTTTTCATTTAATTTTTCAAATTCATCAATCAATCCTCTCTTGTTTCTCATTTTACAATTAAAATTCATTTCTCTCTTACACCTATCTCATCTTTCTATCTCACATATAAATCATTTGCTATATAATGAAAAAGTTTTCTTTCTTTTTTTTTCCTAAAAAAAAAAAGTTTTTCTTTTTTCTCTTCCTGATTAGATGAGGAAGAAAGACGATCCATTAACAGCTGCTATTTTTGTCAACCATTTTTTTCTCATTTCATTCAATTTTTGTCAACCAAACATCTTCCGATGCCTAACGGTCCATCATTGTCATCCTACCGTCATTATTCTTTTTCTTTCCGTTTTTTTTTCCCTCTTATCTCTCCCAATTTTTTTTTTCTGATTAAAAAAAAAATTTTTTTTTCATTTAAAATTTTTTCCCATTAGCCTAAAAATAATTTTAATGTAGTTTATTGACGCCAAAATAATGACTTTTTTTTTATTGAAAAAAAAAGTAACGAAAAAGAAAAAAAATTAAATAAAATGCATTCATTACTCAAACAAATATACATTGACCACAAAACTTTTCGTATTTAACAATAATTTTTTCCACATTTTATTTCTGAAATGAAATTAAAAGTTTAATCAGAAATGAATGGATAATATGATATTAATGAATGAAATCATTAATTAATGAATGAAATAATCGAATACTGAAATGAAATAACAAAAAATGTTTTTCTTTTTATTTTACTATTTTTTTTAAAAAAAACTTATATAATGAAGCACAGATAACTACATATGAAAAGATTTTGTTAGAATCGACACATAATTACCATTATATTTATCTTGGCTCGAAACTACCAGGCTATAAACTATCATCAGCCTATTTATCTTGGAGAGCTGGAAACTACCAGCCTGCTTATTATTTGGCTTGAACTAATTGAATACGATTTTCCTATATAAGGCCAATATGGCCAACCATCAAATATTTATTTTAGCAAAATTTTTTCAAAAAAAAATTGTGAAAATTTTCTCATGGAAAAAAAAGAAAAAAAAGGATTGAAAATGATTATAAAAAATTATTACAAGCAAATTTAGCCACTAAAAAAAAAATAAAATCCTGATTGAAGTTTTGAAAAATTAAATTAAATTCGAAAATTGAAATTCATTACTGTTTATTTACTGTAGATCGATTCGTATATTTTCTCGGATATGCCTCGTTTAATCGAACTTGATCTTTCATTCAATACAATCGATCATTTGGCTGAAGATGCATTTTCAAAATGTCCCAAATTACGTCAACTTGATTTGTCTGGCAATTATTTAACAAATTTCAATGGAGCACTTCAAGAGTTACAAAATCTTAAACGTCTCAATTCAAGTTTTAATATGATTCAATTGCTACAATGGGATGAATTTCCAGTAACAATGACACATCTTGAAATGAGTAATAATCAAATTACCCTACTAAGTAGTACCCAACGATCTAGGATACGTCATGTACAGGTTATTCATTCATTCATTTAATTAATTAATAAATGAAAGTAACCAATTCAAAAGAGATGTAGAATTCAACGAAAAAGTTTTCATTTTTATAAAGAAAAAAGAAATTAATTTTCCCGAATGCTATTATTAATTTAAATTCTTTAGAAATCATAAATTTTAAGGTAAACTTGAAAAAAAAAATGTGAAATTTCAATAATTTTCAATTACAGTTACAACGAAATCGTATAATGGCTTTAACAGATGAGCAAATTCCGAATACAGTGGAATATTTAAATCTAAGTGATAATTTAATTCATACAATTGATAATGGTACATTTCGAAATAAACAATTTCTAAGCAGTTTGGATTTACGAAAAAATCAATTAACAAAATTAGAAATAGCAGCATTTATGGTAGATAGTTTAACAACTGGTCATCCAGTAAGACTATCTATAGCTGATAACCCATTAGACTGTAGCTGTGAAATGGATTGGATTCGTAACAATAAAGATGTTAGTTTTAAATTTTTTTCTTCTAGCAAAAAAAATTAATTTAAATTTGATTGTTTAATTCAACAATTTTCATTTGCCCAACACTTCACTCATTTACTTATTGATTTATTTTCAACGAATTATTGCTATTTTATTTTAATTGTTACAATAATTTTTTTTCCATTTCCTATATTTCAAAATATATCAATTTGTTGAAAAGAAAAAATTGAAATTAAATATTTTTTAGGAGAAATCGCTTATTGATATTATTGATGATAATCGTGCTGCTTGCTTACATCGAATTTATAATCGACGTATTTTATTATCGGAAGTTAGGAAGGATGATTTACTCTGTAGCTATAAACAAGTAATTATTCTTAATAAAAAAAAATTTCAAAACTAAAATAAATTATGAAGAAATTGGAAAGAGAGAAGAAAGGAAGAGAAAATTCTGATGATTTTAAACAATAATTAATTAAATGTACCATCTTGAAAGTTTTCAAAATACCATTTTATTAAATTTAGGTCTGTGAGCCAAATTGCATTTGCTGTCAGTATGGTAATTGTGATTGCAAATCAAAATGTCCTGATGGTTGTCACTGTTATTATGATGTCACATATACCATAAATATTGTACGCTGTACAGCATTACAATCGGAAGATCGTAATAACTTTTCACCAAAAGTAATACTATCATAATAATTTATATCAATTAAACATATTAAATTAAATTCATCATATATAATATAATCATTTGTATAAAAATTTTGAAATATAGAGAATATATGAATGATAATATGTACATAAGATTTAAAAAGTTTTATATAGAAAAAAAAAAAAAAGACATTTGATGAAAACTGAAATAAACTTTCATATCATAAAATGCTATCATAATAAGTTTACATTAATTTACTCAAAATTTTACATTCTTTAGTTTTATTATTTAGATATTTTGGTTTGTAAATAAAATAAAATATGTTAGTCTATCTAATCTAAATGAAAAAGTTAATTTTTAGGATATACCAATGTATGCTACACATATTTATTTGGAACATATGGAAATTCCTGTGGTACGAAGTCATGATTTCCTGGGACGTACACGCCTTTTGCACCTTCATCTTAATCACTCATCAATACGGGAAATACAACCTTTAGCATTTAATACATTACCATCATTACAGGTTTTCTATTAATTAATGAAAATTTTGTTTAATTTTAAAAAAAAAAAATTAAAAATTAATTTTTCTGAGAAAGTTAGATTATATATACATATATACTTATAATACAAATTTGAACGATTATGAAATTTATAAAAATTATTAAAATTTTAAATCTGATAAGAATTTTTCATTTGACTCCTTGAATTTTTATAAAAATTTGATGTAGAACTATTGATAAGCACTGTTTTTATTTCATCAATTAAATTTTAGTTATTAGATCTCTCTGGAAATTATTTGATACGATTGACTGGTGATGAACTATATCGAACGAATAAAATAACAACCTTATTGCTTCATAACAATCATTTAATGTCACTTGATGATCGGCTCAATGAAGTGATGCCAAAACTAAAAACTATTACTTTACATAATAACAGATTACAGGTAGCATTTAATTGCTTAACGATACAAAGATAAATTAAGTAAAACTAAACGTTTTCTTTTTTTTCTCTCTCTTTTTCCTTCAACTTTACAACTGGAAATCATATGTGGGCAAAAATAAAATAGTATGATGATTATAACGATAATAATAATAATAATAATAATAATAATATTGTATAGTAAATTATTGGAATAATTCCAGGATTTACCTCTATCTATCGAACAATATGGTAAACAGATTACGGATATCACGCTAGGCTCTAATTTCTTTCGTTGTGATTGCTCGCCACGTTTTCGTATACAATTTTGGTTTTCACGTAATTTAGATTTGATACATGACGTATCAGATATTTTTTGCGTTGAAAATATTAGTCATGCAATTCGTGAGAATGATACAACAATTCTTAGTGCTTATTCACCAAATTTTGGCGATGATATCTTTAAAATACCAATGGCACAATTTATTGCTACTGCTAATACGTTAGTATTAATTTTATTGCTAACATTTTAAAATTTGAATTTATCATTAAAGTTATTTAGGGAAATGTTATGTTTAAGTTGATGGAATAAAATATAAGTTATAGGTAATATAAATGACAAAGGTATTATTATTACTATTATTCTTTCTCCTGTCTTTAATCATTTTTTATTGCTATCATTATACATAATCGTGATCATTATTATTACCACGATTATTACAACGCATCAAATTGCTCAAAAAACAAGTATTACTAAAAAAGAAAGAAAAAAACTTTGGCTATGGTATCTCATTCATGACGAAGTGATTCATTTTTAGGACAATTTGTGCACCTACCGCAAGCGGTGTTTTTGGTAACGAAGGGACAACAAATTCATTCCTTATCATTACGGTACTGTTTGCTGTAGCATTAATAACAACCGGTTTGGTACTTCTGGTTGTGTTGTTTCTTCGAAAGACAAAATCAGCAATAGTACAACGAAGGTATAAGGTACCACCATCATTTACCGGTACACATACTACACCTGGTTCCAGTCCATTACCACTGATCCATTTCGATGCTTTCATTAGTTATTCCAAAAAAGATGAAAAACTTATCATCGATACCCTATACAGGTATGAAATTTTAAAACTTTTGAAGGTTCAAAAAGAAACTTTCTCCTTGTACAGTATTTACAATTGATTACTTTCTAAGTGAATAAAGCTTGTCAAAAAGTATTTCCGAATTTTGCTAAATTTTTATGAAAAAAATAGAAGAAATTTTTATATGAGTTTCCATTAAACTCTTTATAAAAAAAAAAGAATATTATTTTCAAAAAATAATCTATAAACATAATACAGTCTTATAATTCATTATAATTTTCAAAAAAAAAACCCTATATTTCCAGGCAACTCGAATCTGAAGAGTATATTTTATGCCTGTTACATCGAGATGGTCCAAATTATAGTTCGCGGGTACATACAATATCTGATGAACTTATCAATCAAATGGAATGTGCTCAATCCCTTATACTTGTTCTAACTCAACATTTCTTAGATAACGAATGGAAAACATTACAGGTCATTTTTTAAATAACTGAAAATAATCAATTACAGAAATTAAAATAATTATTTGATCCATGATAATTTAATACAATATTAACACATAATCTAGCAGAATATTACTGTTACAATTTTAAAATAATTTTATCCCAATCTTTAAAATTTAATATTTTCAAACATTACAGGTCATTTTTTAAATAACTCATGTTTTTATAATATTAACACATAATCTAGCAGAATATTACTTGCAGTTTGAAATTTTTTTCTTCATTTTAGATTAAAACATCTCATCAAATTTTTGCTAAAAATCGTCATAAAAAATTAATTGCATTACTTGGTGATGGTATTGAAGCTAATCAACTGGATGCTGAATTAGGTCAAATTTTACGGAAAAATACGTGTATACGAATGAATGATCCGTTATTCTGGAATCTATTACATTCAGCTTTACCCATTCGAATAGCACCGTCATCCTGTAGCGGTGGCTCATCACAGATTTATTCCGATTGTTACGGTAGTATTGTGCCTAGTGATATTGTTTAAATATGTAAGCATATTTTCTCTTTTATAATTTTTTGTATTGATAATAACAAAATTTGATGGTACTACTTTAGTAGAGAGTTTGTTTCTTCTCATTGTTTAAAGGAAGAAAAAAGAAGAAAAGAAAACCATTTGAAAAATTTTATTTTCTTTCATAAATGAAAAAAAAAATTAACTTTAAAAAAAAGAAAAATAGGAACAAAAACAAATAAAAACCTTTGTTAACAACGCTTCATTTTTCAGTTTTAATTTACCTAGAGAGAATCCAAATATTTCAATCATTTTAGGTGGTCTATTCGAAAGCTGAGAAAATAAATGATCAAATTAGTTAAAGATATATATGACTTATTCCAAAGATTGAAATGATCTAAAAAGATCGAAATAAATTTGAAATCAGTACTGCACAAATTCCTAATAGTATCATTAATTTTATCAAATTGCTTTACTGATATTATTGCTCTTCAATTCACGGGTCTTTTTTTTTCATTTTGTAGATATTATTAGACTATTATTATGATAATATTTCTTTTTTCGATTTTAAATTAAGGTAAAATGCTTGGAAATAAAGATTTAATAGATGAATGTATGACATTCACATTCAATTTTTCCTTCAAAAAAAATCTGGTAAGAATAAAAAACTAGTTGAAATGAATTTCATTTCTTTTCTTTTTTAAACAAATATCAAAAAGCATTTCTCCTTTTTTATTATTTTATTTTATAAATATATTATGCGTGTGTTACAATTATTTTGCACTATTGCCCAGTGTTTTGCCTTTTCTCTCAATAAAATATTCATTAAAAAATGTTACTTATGCAATTTAATAAAGTTTATGCAGTTCTTCTGCAAAAAAAAAAAAAAATTTTCATAGTGTACTAATACCAAATTACCAAACTTTAATGTCATTTATATCATTAAATTAAAAATTTCATTTTTAACAAATTTCAGATAAAAAACCCCACAACACCCTATGAGACATTTTAAAATTACGGCATATATATATATATATATCAAAGTTAACTCCATTACTAATAAATTTTACTTAGACGCAAAACGTTTCAACAACTTAGGAATGATTGAGAAATGCAAAAGGTTAGAATATATATTCTAAGAAGATTTAAATGACCAGAAATGATCAAAAGAAAGAAATTAGAAAATATGTAAATAAATAACTAATAATAATGCTAAGTAATAGATAATTGATGTAATTCGAAAAATAAAAGTTCAAAAAAAAAAAAACTGAAATAAAAAAGCGTAGTCTATTAAGTTAGATTAAACTTCAATTATTTCGCACATATTTTTTCTTCATGATTATCTGAAATTGTTAATAAAGCCATTACCACCAGTTTCAATGCACTACCTCCTTCATCTGTTCTCTATTAATTAATTAATCGAGCAAATGTTTTCCTTTTAAATTGCTGACATCAATGACTTTTATGAGATTTTCATTCATTTAACTTTTAATGATTTTGTTTAACCTTTCGAATACTTTTCCCTCTTAATTTCATCCTTGAAAGTAAAGCATCTAAAAAAAACGCATGCATTAAAGCACTTACCATACATATTTGGTCCTTCCAAGCCATAATTTGCTTTTTGATTCCAATATTTCAAAGAAACTTCATCAATCGATGAACCAATAAAATATTCCAAATTTGCAATGTGAAAATCCAATATTCTTTTATCCATTTCATTCATATAAACAGCACTAAAAATTAAAACAATGCTAAATCGAACAATGAATTATTGATTGGATCTATTATTTCCTTTTTTTTTCTCTTTTTAAATTCCAATAATCCAAATTATAAGTGTAATGCTTCTATTAAAGACATATATATGATATTTTTAATTTCTGATTTCTTCCCATCCAAATTCTTATCAATATTTTTTTGATGAAATCTTTTATCTTTTCCTAAATTTACGATCAACTAATCGCTGGTTCACTTAACGTTATCATAATTACACGTATTGTTTTCGAATAATTTAAAAGTTAATTGTTAGCAGTGTAAAAATATAATATTTATATTTTGCATACATAATTTTATTCTTTTTATTAAATTTTAGCATTTAACAGCTTTTGTTCTTTTTTTGAGGAAAAATGTTCAATTTCATTCTTTTTTTAAATGAAAAAAATTCATTCTTTCATTGTGTCTTTCTTTTACTGATCTTTTATTCATCTTTCTTACTCCAACAATAATTCTTCCCTATTTCACTGTAATTATCCAATGTATCTAATTAGCATAAATATATGCACACATATGGAGATGTGTGATGATTATATTTTGACGCAATTCTTAATTCTCTCTTTTTCCATCATCCTTTGTCATTTCTCTCTTCAACGATACGGTATTTCACCGATTATTACCAATATTATGACCTCTAGTATCACATTTATTAGACACTGAGGGAGGGTAGAATTCCCAGAGAAAGCTAAAAAAAGATGTGGGCAGAAGGTGAGGCAAAATTGAACAAAAGGTTATACGAGAGGTCAAACATGAACATAAGTCATCATTGATGCAATCTGACACTATAATAATTGTAAACAAACAGATGAACGGACAAATAAACTCGGGCAGAACAACAGATTGTCAATAATTTGGAAGGGATAATTAAACATTGTATGTTTTAAATAATAATTTTCCCCGAGATTTCTAGAATTTTGTTTTACGCGGTGTAACAATTTCGAAAAAAAAAAAACAATAATGGAGTAAGGACTGAAATTTAGCACACTGAACTTATAAATATATATTTTGATCAGAAAATTATGTCCAATACATAATTCCATATAATTAATTATTTAAATCTGCAAGCTTTCTCCTATTTTCCAAGATATCAATGTGACAATTAACAGTGAAATAAGGTGAGTAATTATTTCCAAATAATTATATGGCTGTAGTTATTCTTCTCGATATTTAGAATTTCACTTTTTAAAAAATAATTGTATTAAATTCGCAATTCTCATTAACTTTAATAAAATGAAGAAAAGAAAAAAAAGAGGATTAATAAGCATATAAGCAGATATGTTATTAGCATTTCAACTATCGTTTAATCGAAAATGACAAATTTTAAGAGAATTATTCAGTCTTATTTTATATTATAGTGCTTAATATTGCGTTCTTTCTTATGATCTCTATGGAAAACTCAAATGAAAGTGAAATAAGCAGCTAACAGTATAATGAATGTAAAAGCGATGGCAATAAAATTAAATTAAAAAATTAAACCACCGAGAAATTTAGATATAAATAACATACCTTGGTTCATTCTTAGATAGTTCTGCTAGTGCAACGTTAATTTCTCTTCTTTTTGATTCCAACGATTCATAAGCCTAAAATTGGAGGGAATATATATTAAAAAGAAGATTTGAAATTAATGTTATTTTAACGACACTACATGCAATTCATCAACATTAATTTTTTTGTAAAATATGTGTAAAAATTCAATGTTTTATAAAAAATAATTGGAACCATTTTGTCTAACTGTTCATTTATTGTTATGGATTTTAAAAAAATTCATCTCAGTAATATTATTCCTAACTTAATTACATAAATTAAAATTAAAAAAATCTTTTATTCGCTTCTTTTTGTAATTGTTGCATTTATAAAGAAACATATTAATAAAAATATATAATGCAAGAAAAAAATTCTTTTGCCTTAAAATCTGTATTATACGATGAAATAAAAATCATTATGTCACATAATAATAGAGTTGGTAATCGATTTTTAATTTCAATATCAAATTTCACACGACCTGAATAGCATCATCGATATCTTTGACGGCACATTTCAACATAATTTCATTTTCCATTTGTTCATCTTGGCTTAAATCACTACATCCTTCTTTCTCTTTTAATTCTTCATAAGCTGCATGCAATCGCATTATTTCATCCTTTTTAAGAACCATCTAAAAACATTCAAATGTTTATCATCGAAAATTTTACTATGATCTCTTGGAAAATTTTCAAATATTACATTTGCTATGACATCACGTTGAATATAAATTTCTTGAAATATCCGACCGATGACAGTTATTAACCGCTCAATTAATTTTTTAACTACATACATTCTGAACTTGATTCACAAAATTTTGAAGATATTGCCAAAAATTCTCGAAGTTTAAAACAATACCACATAAATATTTAAAGTACGAAATAAACATTTATTTACCGTATCTTGAACAAGTTTTAGCTTATTTAGCACATTTTCATATGATGCAAAATAAGAAATACGTCTGGTTTGCAACTGATAATCCTGTTGTCTAAAAACAAGAATGTTAAATGTATAAATCTACATTAGATAATTTTCAAAGTAATAAAATCAAACACTATCATCAGACTTGAAGCAATAAGTCAAAATAAAAAGAAAACTTCATAAAAGTCACTCTGCAACGTGGTATTACTAAATTAAAAAACAACAAAATTGTCATTCTAATAAGAATTTATTAAGCGAAATATGTTGAAAATTGCATTTAAAAAAAAAAATTTACGTTATACATATTATATGTTACAAAAAAAGTAACACTAATAATGTCATGAAAGAACACATTGTAGATGTTAAACATGAAATGTTTGATATAAAATTAAATGCTTTAAAACTTACTTTAACATAACAGTGAAAGTTTCGCCTAAACTTAATTTACGTCCGTTCAGTTCGGTAATTCCTTTAACATTTGCCATATAAGTTGAAGCAGAAATGATATTATTGAATGCGCGCTCAACTAATCGTATTCGTCGTGGTTCAATCTTAAATCACATTTTTGAAATGATCAAAAATGCACGTGTTAACAAAAATAGATGATTATGAATTTTGATGCAACATACAATTCTTGTAATGCATAGTGATAAAATAATAATTTTCTGAACCTTCATAAAAACAGAATATATTTACTTATAAAATATTAAAATGAAAAAAAAAAAGTAACATACTGCTTTGCCACTAGGATCATATACTGGACATTGGTCAAGGCAAACAGGAAGGCATCTAACTTCAAACTGCTTGCATAATGTCATCAACGGATTTCCAACTGAAACACATCAAATAAAGTTATAGGAATGGAAAAAAAAGTTGTCTTCTAGATTTGCTATAGTTTGGTTCAATAGATTGTATAGATACTTTCCCAAATACTTATCTCATCGTTAAAGAAAAGTAACATTTGCCAAAATATATTAAAAGAAAGGAAATAATAACTTCGAATAATTTAAACATAATTAAGTGAATGAATGCAGGTCATAATTTTTTAGTGATTGAAAATAACAATTTTACGACTAAATACGATGAAGCTTTCTTGAAGAATCCAAATGTGGATAATAATATTAAATCATATGGAAGAATGAATCACTTCAACTCGATAATAGCTATCAATAAAAAAATCAAAAGTTTTTACAACACTTCACATTTTCTTATTTTTAGGATTTCACTGTCTTTTATCAAACAGCAAGAGCAAACATCACTTTCTCAGTTGGAAAAAAAAAAAATCTTTTTAAAAATTTTGATAAAATTGTTTCCGTTTCTTTACAAACATTTATTACAATGAAGATTCATTTGGTTGACAATTTATTGGTTAAAACTATGGATGTCATTTTAACATTTTTCATTTTTTAAATTGAATTATAAAGCACATACATGCTCCATAAATGTAGGATGCACCTAATTCCGCAACAATTTCCGTATTTGTGGTGCCAGTGAGTGGTTTAATATATGTTGATATACGACCACCAATTCGAGACTAAACAAAGATTTCCTTTGTTGCAATTTTAGGACATTATTATCTGTACATATCACTGAATTAGAATTAAATCAAAATAAGACAAAGAAACTAGAATAATCCAAATATTCTAACCTTTTCTAATGAGATAAGGGGATATATTTTCTAGCTAAATTTTTAATTCAACAAATTCTTACATTAACTTAAGCCAACTATAATACTAATGTTAAAAAATTATTCCAAATGTCGGAGTAGAAAAATCTTTAAATATGTAGTTCTGATAAGGAAAAAAGTGGAAGAGGTATTTTTATAACCATTGAATAAATAACCCACCCGAGCTTCCAAAATAATCGCATCTAAACCAAAGAATTTAAGTTGTCGCGCAGCAATGATACCAGCTATACCAGCACCAATTATTATTATCCGCCTTGGATGTATTTTCGGTGAAGCTGAAACAATGTTCAACTTGTAATTAGCAATTAAAGAACTAAAATATCTAATACACTTAAACTTTCTAATGAAAATACGGATCACAAATATTTTGTATGTTTGATACGGATAATGGGATAACATATTGAAATTTATTATAACCAAAAGAAATCGATTGGTAGCACATATATTATTTATCAACAAATATACATAAAAGAATATTAAGTTGATCAAACTATTCAAATGCATATAATCAATATATTTTGGCTAAAATATTTTTCAAAACTATTAAAAACTTTGAGATTCATCAATTTAAGCCACATACGAGATATGCGATTAAAGATGCCCACATTTACATAACCAAAACGTTGAAGGAATTCATAAATGCGACGAACAAACAATGGATCACCTAAAAAAAACTTATATTTTGAATTTTGGAATCGTTTTATTAGAAAAAAGGAATCACTTTATTAGAAAAAAAGAAATAAAAAAAAGGAATCGTTTTATTAAATGAAACAAATAATTTTGCTCAAAACCTGCCATATTAAACTGTACAGTAGCTTTTATATATTATAAATCTGAAATCTGAAGTTTTTATATATTATAAATTGAGTGCTTGTTAATATAAACAGATGGTAAGAACTTACTATCATATGGTGAGGATAATTCACTCATAAAATCTCGAAATGTAAGTTCTATTCGTGGATTTCGATGCCACATTTGTAACTGAAATATTTGCATAAGAAATTATTTGCCTTAAGTAAATGCAAAAAAGAAAAAAAAGAAAATTAAATATTTTCGAGAACTAAAAAGATTTTGCAAACTTTGTCTTATTTTAAAATAATTAAGATATGAAGTTACCAATTTATTCCTCAAATATAGATATAAAGCGGTACTTCCACGACTCATTTTTAGCTCCGGAAAAGCATGCATTTCTTGTGCTGTTGGTCGATTAGGTAACAGACAAGATTTACTGGCAGCCAAATGTAAAGCTATAAAAGTGCAATATAAAACGAAGGAATAAATTAAATAAACGGATTCGTTGGGAATAATTACTCTAAAATGTTTACTTTTGAAATACCATAGTGATGAAATTTTCAAATTACTTGAAACCGTGTAGCCATTTCTAATTATTCCTTTGTCAGAAAAATTCAATTATTAATAGAATAGTATGATTATGATTACAGGAATATAATTATCATGTAATACACTATAATAATGATTTGTTTGATAATTACCGATATCATCGTCTTCCCACTGCATTATATCAATATTATCATAACTTGTTTCAAAATCATCCGTTTCATATCGGATCAAATTTGTTGAATGACTTCGTAAATTACGTCGTATTTCATTCGAACTGGATGCTTCATCTGCCATCTTTGCCCAGTGAATAAGTCATGTAAAACACTTACTATAAAAGGCTAGTCTGAAGATTTCCACTCACTTATTTTCTGCAGTAAAATCCCTGTCAATTCTACTAACTCAGATATAGATAATAAATAGTTGATAAGTTGATTAGTTGCAAGATTTATACCTCATTTACAACCCTTAATTAGTAGAAAAAGGTATTACAGTTAATGAATGTTGTAATTGTTGCTTAGATAACAAGCACATTCGAGAAAATGTTACATTTTCTTGGAGAAAAAATAACTTGTCCAGAATCTATAAAGAAAAAAAGCAAAAGAGAAAACAAATTCATGCAAATAACTTTATTTGAGAATAAACAACTGACAACAAAACTTTATTGTGACCAAACAGTTAATGAATACACGGGTGCGATTAAAATGAAATGCTAGCTTACGCAGATGCATCTAGAAATTTCGCTTTAATTGCTTGAAATGTTTTAAAATTTCCAATCAGTTTTGCGAATTACCACCGCATACATATTTATGTAAGAACAACTGACGTGAACTATAAGTCAAGAAAGAATTTAACATTGTTTTTAAATAGTAATATTGAATGTAAATAAATGAAAGAAACATGAAATGCATGCACATTACATTAGAATTCAGGTACATGATAAGTGATTGGTAACTTTTCCTAACGCCTTCAAATCCAAAAAACCAGATTTTCCTAAGGATTATATACCTCGTACTTCAAAATAATCACTCTAGCTTTTTTAGATTAAGCAACAAAAACATTTGAACAGTAATCCCGAAAAAAAAAAAATTCATATAAAACAGAAACAAGAGAACTTGAGCGCAACTGGAATAAAAACATTAATTTAAATTATATAAAATGATCGACATGATTATCGAATTCATCAGATAAATAATTGTCATACAAATTACATAAAATGGTCGGCATAATCGTCGTATTCATCAGATACATAATCGTCATACAAATCTTTCTTCGCTTTAACTGAAGCTGTATTTGACTTACTGACGTTTCTTATCGTTGGTTTCGTTGCACCCTTCCCTTTTGCCTTCTGAAATGATTTTTTCTTCTATGAATTATGTCAAATGAATACCTAATTCATCATTTCAAACAAGAAAAAAAAAAAAAAAAAAAAACGCGAGAAACCCCAGCAAACTGATATATGTAAGAAATTATCAGTACTAATAATTATAATTTATGAAATTCATATCAACACTGTCAGCTACTCACTCTGTCTCTGAGAATTCAATCATCTAAGCACAAGTTATATTGGTAATGTTTTCGTACTTAATTGAAAAAATGAATTCATTAAAGGAATAAAGTAGAAAATCCATACGAATTACGGAAAACCATCAATTTAAATACCTTCTCAACTGCTGTCTTTTCATCCGCTATAGTTTTTACAACCGTACTCAAAACCCTTGCTTTGCTCGCATCCACTGAAAATTTTTAAGATTAGTTATTTAAAAAAAAAAAAAATTATTTAAAAAAATAGATAGAAATCTTGGTGAAAATATTAAATATAAAATATACTGTCACTGAATTCAGAATGCCCTTTTTGTATACATTTTTAGAACGGATAAAATTTACAAAAGTTCGAATTAGAAATATAATTCAAACAGAATCTACCAATTCATATGTCTTTTGAGAAGTATGTTAAATGGCCTTATGAATTGTCTTGATTGGTATATATCCTTAATCTACTGTTTCGTGGATTTTAGATCGTGTTATTTGTTATGTTTTATTAGCTAATAGAAACCTCTCCATTTTCTAAGCTTAAATTCCAAACAGCATTTTACATCCTATCCATCAGTTCAAAGTTAGTAAGAAACAAAGCACTGTTGATTTTATGAACACACCCAGAATCTTTATATTAAACTTACTGTGTGAAAGGACAACTTTGAGAAGTGAAACAAGCATCTCAGAAAAATGGGTAGCATTTGATCGTGCTAAAAGCATTTTTCCAATATTCTCACCAAATGTCCTAAATTCGTCCAAGGAAGTCAATTCCGAATAAGTTAATGTTTCATCCTCGTCAATACCTGGAAATTTTTATGAATAAAATTTTGCTATACGTTTTTTCATTTTTCAATCAAAATCTTTCGCTTTGTTTTAGTGTGAAAATTACCAGAAACACTTGGGACAATTTGTATATTCAATTAAAATGCAAAAATGCAGCAAAGCACAAAGAAAAAAAAAAAGGATTACAACATAAAACAGATACAATTATGTATGGGAAACTTAATATATCATAATAAAAATATAACAATTTAATACTATAAGAGTTACATAAATATGAAAAGCATACCAAATAAATCTTTTGCAAGCTTCAGATCAGCTTTCCTCTGCAGCTGCTCCTTTTCCTTTCCACTCAATTCTCGATTGAGGTCGGCACTAAAGGTGTTCAGTGGACTGTCTGTCTTTTTCTTCGATTTCGATGGTACAGACTTGGTTGAATTAAGCGACTGAAAGAGATAATCTTATTTCATGTTTAAAAAAGAGGATCATCTCTCATACATATCGAGATGACGGCTAGTCATGGGAGTTTCGCCAAAAAACTGGACAAAAATAAGAAGAGTTTAGTCGAAAACTATTATTTTCTGGTTGTTTTACTTCTAGCATAGTCAGCCTGAAAATTAGATTTACAAAATTTTATTACATTTCCTTAGATTTATTTTTATAGAAACACTTACTTGATTCTGCTCTGACTTGTCGCCTATTTCTTCGTCTACTATAATATGCTTCTTTTCATCTAGCTGTTTCACATCAACTTCGAAATCATCATCATCTATAATTAATATGAATAAACATTGTTCGACCTAAACTCTACATACTATTTGTAAGCTATATTTGACGAAAAACATCAAAAGACAAAAAATTGAAGTTAACCTCGAAATCATTGTACATATGCTCCCACCCCACAAGTACAAAAAAAATACAAAAAAGCAAGACTTACCCCAATCACCCATTTTGCTTGCCAAACTGTTAAACGTTAGTAATTCTACTGCAGAAGCTCACTTATCACCTTCAATTAAGATCTATTAATAATGCTGATAAAATTCATTGACAACATCAACAATATCCGCGAAACACACAATTATTTATATCATTTCAACGACTTAGAATCTAACAACTCCTTATTCTCTTTCCCTTTCTAACCATACCTGTCCGTGCAAAATTAGGCTTACAATAATACACATTGAAACACTGCACTATTAGTATTGGAATAATATCTCAGACGTCGTGAATCGCGCTAAAATTAAACAACATTTAAATTGAAATACTTCACATAAAAAAAAAAAAAAAAAAAAAAAACCTCTAAAAATGCTTTCGAAACTTTACAAGGTATATAAATCTGATAAAGAACAGAACCAAAACGAGAATAACAGAAATATTTATGTAAAAAATACTACCATAACAATTTATTGAAACATTAATATATTTATTATAGAAATTTGTACGCTATACTGAATACATCTGGGACTAATGTAATCCTATATTTTACATATAAATTGTTGATTCATAACGTAATAATAATGAAAACATTATATAAACATTGCTTGCGGCTAACTCGATATATCATTTTGCATTCTACAAATAAAATTTTACAAAAAAAACGTGAAGAAATTTCTACAGAAAAAAAAAATGTGCAATAAGTATCAGAGGATATCAGACAATGTCAAATAATCTTTATTTCGATCGTTGGATATTGCACCCCTATTGTGCACAAATGAATTCATGAATTGAATAACGCAGGTCACGATGCATGCAGTGCTTTAAAAGATCCTGGAGAAATTATAAATCCATTCAAAAGCACATTTAAGTAACTTACAAAAAGAGCTATAAAAAAAATAAATATATTATAGTTTGTTACAAAACACAAACAGACGTGGCTACAAACCTTTAAGTAAATTATCACATTTTCTAATAGTTTATACAAATTTTGTTCAGGAAACGAGAAGGCTTCATCTCAATGCACACTCAAATTAGTCGCTTTTTCTCATAATAAATTGGCACATATCTTTATGAAATGCAGAATCATTGCGAAAGAACACTTAGAACTGCTGCAAAATTACTCAATGCAGTTTTGCAGCGTGAAAAAAAGAATGAAAATTTTCAAAACATTCAGTGATGAAAAATAATTATAACGTGGCAGTAAAAATAAAAAAAAACAAAGGAGAAAAATAAGTCAACGAGAGGATCACCGGATGGACTGAACAAAATGTCCATGCAAACTATCGATTACCTAAATTTGATTAAAAATAAACTCAATATCATATCTGATAAGAAATCTTTGCACCTAAATGTAAAACCAGCCACACCAAGTGAATTGTTGGATTATCTGTTGGTTTTGGTAGATTTAAAAAATATTTTTACAAAAAACTATTTTAAAAAACCTGTGACAGTAATCTCCGAAAAGTTGTGATACGTAATCAAAGGTTGACAAAAATTAGAAAGAAGCAGAAATGAGATTAAATTTTTGAAATTCAAATAAAGTCGCCCTAGAAACTGAACTGAAACTTGAATCTTTTACATTTATTATTTCTCCCATAAGATCCCATTTTAGCAGTCTTTTGCGAATATGTCATTACTGTTTGCTGATTCTACAACGTGATGAAAGCTTAAATGGACCCTGAAACATTCCCTGAAAGAAACTTGTGGCCAATAATCTCCGATCCATCTCCGTTTTAAATGAAGCTCAAAATTCGAATATTCAAGGAAAGTAAATTTGAATATCTAAAAGAGACAAAAATGTAAAAGCAAACGAAACAAAAAAGAAAGTGAACAAATGATAAAAAGATCAGACCATTGAAACTGATGTTCGTGACAGCAACATTCTGCATTCCCATAACTAGTTAAAATTCAATCCGACCATTTATTCTCTCATCCTTTACTTATAAAATAGTCATCACGTGTTGTTGTGTATCGATATCTGGACATGTAGTGGCTGTTGTAGCTGAACGTAGGGCTGAACGTAACAATGGCCGCGTTGTCACCTCATCAGTAGGACTATCTAGAATAAATTCCGAAAGTAATGAATCCACTTCAGCGAAACCGAAAAATTTCGTTAAAGTCATATTTTCGATGAGTACTTGTGCCAGAGCTTTAAGAGCAGGTGCAAGTAGCAAAATATTGCCATAACGTGTCGGTGCTTCTTCAGGCGTATGTGTCAAAATGTAACAATATAGAGCCTTAAGTATTCGATTACGAGCTTCACGCAATGCCTGAAAAGGAACTAATTTAATGCTTAGTTAATGGATGTGATACATTTCAATCATTTATCTTGATGTTTAGCTGATTCCCACCTTGATTAAATATTTTTGATATAACCTACAATTTTAGGTTTGAACGGTCCCAATTATTTACAATCTTCGAATGAATTCCCATTTCTCAAGAGTTCAAAACCTCGACTACCTACCGACTGATGCCTCGAAAACACGCTTTCAGTATTGTATCGGAAAATTTTCTTACATCTCTACAGTCTTTATATCTACATTACTAATATATATTAATACAAATCTCTTTTTTTTTTTTGCAAAGTTCTATTGTAATTACAGCATTTTTTATTATAAATAACTGAACGTTTCACTATTATAGCAGAATCCTAATAAGACAACTAATTAACATTTATACATCCATATAATTATGTGAAAAAAGGATATACTTATTAAATTACAATATTTATGCTGAATTGCATTGTCTACTTTTTTTCCTTCCAAAAAAATTCTTGTATTTATAATTATTTGAAATTGCGACTAATTATATTTAATGACCAATAAAGTGCTGTACTTCACCACTTATTTTACTGAACGTGAATAAATAAAACGACCGTTTGAGCTGGTACAGAAAGTCCTTTCGCCTCAGGATGAAGAAAAGCCAAAGCTTTTAGGCACACAAATTCCTCTTCTCTCATTTGCAAATGTCTCATTGGCCATACTATTTCGTCCATTATACGTGGCATAATGTTGCTTGTTTTGAATGCCGATAAACCTATAAAAATGTTTCTATACTTCTAGAATTCATAAAAAATCAAAAAATCGTAAAATCCATTTTGTACATGCAAATCCAGTGCAGGACATGCATATCCAGACTCCATTAACCATGCATATATAATTTACTGGAACACTGATTAATTAATGGTTCGTAGCAAAAACAAACCGCCAAATTTGATGCCCCCGTCGCAATTTACATCTGCATTATTGAAAAGGCAAGTGCCAGTCGCGTCTGGTGAACGAAACGCCGGTAATAGAATCAAATGCTGAGGCGCATAGTTTTTAAGCAAAATAATTTTGTCATCGATAATCAAGCCCGGGAATGGTTCCAAACCTTTTGCCCAATCAACCTGGAACAAACAATCTGGAAATAATCATCCAGTTTTTCAAATGGCTTCAAAAATAGGGTGGTTGTTTGACTAATCAAAAGTGTGGTATGCAGTAAATGGCTGGAAATATTTTTAAGAAAACATCTCAAAAATATTTCCTAATATAGAAAAACAAGACAACATCGATCGATTCCTTATAACATGGATAGATAAATAAAACAATAGTTTAGGATGAAATAAACTAAAATCATGTTTTTCAATATCTATTGAAAATCTACTACTGAAATCTACTAAAAAATCTACTATATCTACTGAAAAATTAACCGGTAACAATTTTATAATGGTTTTTGTGAGAAACTTTCTGCATTAAAATTGAAAAGCTTAATGATGGTTACACTAATATTTGAAATGAATGAAGTTTGCAGAGAACGCTGTTTAAATAAAATAATTTCTGTAATCATTATTATGAACATAAAACACATAAACAGCCAATTAATCGTGCTTTCTTGTTTGTTTTTCTCCCACTTTTATATTGTTGCAAATATTTCATTATTAGGAGACTTTTTTTTAATCACGAAAACAAACCATTAATACCAACGTTGTTCTAGATAATTCATTCAAATCTTCAGTTGAACACGATTTGTGTGACTGTGAAAAATCCGATGATGCACAACTACTTTCATTCAGACGATTACTGATTGCAAATGACGAACTGATCACCAAATTTTGATGAGTCGTCATTTCCTGATTGGTTCTTGCCTCCATTTGCATTAATGTTTCGATAACATCCGGCTTCAAGGTGTCATTGATCAGACGACTATTGCAGAACGCTGTTTTGGAATTGTCGTTTTCCGTTCTACTGCTTTCGACTGTTCGTAATACTATTGGTTCACTGTGACGCTTAATGGGACCAATCGAATCGCGTTCAAACTGAATTGCTACAAAAGGACTTAATTTGGAATCTAGTTCACATTAAGATCTCAATGCATTAAACACTTAGTTATAATTTTAGCCAGAACAAATTCTTCCGTTAAAGCCTTGGATTGCACATTTTCTCATTACAAAACATCTTAAACTCATCACAATCCTTCTAAAAACCCATTTTCAGTTTAAAGCACAACATGTTTAAACAATTAATAACATCAAGTTGCCGAGTATCATTTGATGTCACCTTCGCGCTTCATCCCAACTCGTACACACTTCTGAAAACGACAGTATCGACAAGCGCATCGGAAATTTTTGTTGATTGTGCACGCTTTGTTGAAACGACACGTGAATTTTTGGTTTTTGAGGATTGTTCGTCGGAAAAACCCCTTGAAAAACAATTTAATAGTATTCTTAACTAATATTCATTTCAATTAAGAAAACATATCTCACCAATCTTCTATCTTAAATAACTCTTCTTAGAAGACTAATAATAGTAAAACTGATTTTCAATCCCTCATTCCCATCGATACTGGACGAAATATAGAAGGATCAAAACACCTCTGATATTAGAAAAAAATGTGTTGTGCCATACAATACAACGAAACGTTTGAGAAACAAGGAAACAACAAAGAATTCAGGAAAAAATTAAGGAAATAATAAAACTATACTTTGCATCCATTACATGAAAGCACTCCATAATGTGTTCCAGTTGATTTATCGCCACAAACAGCGCACGGTTCATTTAGCGTATCCACTGCAAGCACAAAAACAGTCTCAAAGAAAGCTATAACTTCCTCTTTTTAATAAAATAAAAATTACAAACTCTTATTTATCTAACAAAATAAATCCTCAACAAAACGATATAGAAAGCAAAGAAAACGCAATAAAAATATTTAAAAAGTAATGAAAGAATAACATGCAGACCTAATCATTTATTAAAACATAAGTGATGACACAATTCAATAACTTCATGCAACACGGTGAAAGACACAAGAGGATGAAAATAAAAATTTTGACAATAAATAGCAGTTGAACTCCGTGCAAGTCCACTACAACTGATATTAAAATGACATTTTAAAACTTTAACCGATATTCATTCCAATCCCTGTCGGACGAACTTGGGAAATCCACAAAATCGAATGCTCAAATCAATGCTTCTGCTTGATTACTCATATTAGTTCCAGTCCCTCAATGTACGTAACTGCTGAATAAAATCTGAAAATTTGCTGCGTATTTAAAAACAGTAGAAAGAAATGAATTAAGTAAACATTTGATCCAATTAAAAAAATCTCTACTAGAAGCATAGAATGATGAGAAAAAAGACACCATAATGTATGGCTTCATTTCAAATATGAACAATTTTTTAAATCAAAAGCGTTGATAATTGTTAGTGTTATGAATGTTAGAAAAATGTGAGAAGTGAAGAAAATTTGTAAATTTTAGCAATAAAAGTCAATGAATTTTAAAAATAAAATATGAAGATTCATGAAATTCATCAACTTTTTCCTGATGAGAACTTCCACAAGTACATGAACTGGGATGTTTATGCCAAACCAATAAACTTCTGTTATATCACGGGAATATGTTATATCAAACTTAATTTTAAACTTACAATCAACTCATACCTCAAGAATTCAAATGAACATATCGAAATCTGAGATTTAACTCCACCTAATGGTGTCTGAGAAAACACGCAAAAATACGCTGAATTCCAAATGACGAAAAAGATAGAGCAAAAAATGAATAGTAAATTATAGAAACTGTCAAACAAAAGAAAAAAGAGGACTGTTTCAATACAAAAAGAAAGGAAACATAAAATCTCAAATTCATAAATCGATCCCTGTCAAAGAACAGTGAGAAGAAGAAAAAAAGAAAAACCTCAGATGAAAACCACGGAGTACCGACCAACCACCTCGTACCACCTTTCCCGAGAAGAATGAAACAATCACCACCAATAAGGTGGGTTTAATAATTTTCCATCCGATATACAACCTTTCCCCTATTTCTCTATTCCACACTGTTTCATCACTTCTCTCACACTCTAAACCTCTAACCTCATCAACTTTATAAAGTGCACGTTTTCTTGGCTCAATAAAGAGGATTGGACCAATTAGATGTTTTGCTCTGTGTGAAGTTTCGAGGTTTGCGGTGGGACACAGCAGTACTAAGGCGATGTTTTTGAGAGAATGCGGGAGAAGTAGAAATTTGTTAGAAAGTGCAAGCGGAATTTCTAAGAGAACGCGGGAGAAGTAGAAATTTGTTAGAAAGTGCAAGCGGAATTTCTAAGAGAACGCGGGAGAAGTAGAAATTTGTTAGAAAGTGCAAGCGGAATTTCTAAGAGAACGCGGGAGAAGTAGAAATTTGTTAGAAAGTGCAAGCGGAATTTCTAAGAGAACGCGGGAGAAGTAGAAATTTGTTAGAAAGTGCAAGCGGAATTTCTAAGAGAACGCGGGAGAAGTAGAAATTTGTTAGAAAGTGCAAGCGGAATTTCTAAGAGAACGCGGGAGAAGTAGAAATTTGTTAGAAAGTGCAAGCGGAATTTCTAAGAGAACGCGGGAGAAGTAGAAATTTGTTAGAAAGTGCAAGCGGAATTTCTAAGAGAACGCGGGAGAAGTAGAAATTTGTTAGAAAGTGCAAGCGGAATTTCTAAGAGAACGCGGGAGAAGTAGAAATTTGTTAGAAAGTGCAAGCGGAATTTCTAAGAGAACGCGGGAGAAGTAGAAATTTGTTAGAAAGTGCAAGCGGAATTTCTAAGAGAACGCGGGAGAAGTAGAAATTTGTTAGAAAGTGCAAGCGGAATTTCTAAGAGAACGCGGGAGAAGTCGTTAGCAAATATAAGCGGCGTATTCAGGATTCATTATCAAATACGAGCAGAATTTTTAAATGAAGGCGGGAGAACCTACTGCTAAGTGCATTTAAAGTGTTACTTAATTGATTAGGGAAAATTAGAAATTATTTTGAAAATATAATTTGATAGAGTAATCTCTGAATTGTGTGTATTCGTTTTTATTTGCATCAGCATTTAGCTATCTTAATTTTCTATTTTTAGGGCATGTTAAACGTTATTCGGTTGAATTACAATTCGTTGATTATTGTAATACCAATTTTAATTAATGAAATTCATGCTAAATTTTAGTAAAGAAAGCTGCATGATGAAACAAACTGATGATGTTCCGGGAACCAATGGTGCTCCTCAATACCAGCAAAAGTAAATTACGGAAAAAGAATAATTATTAGTGTTCTTAAATCTATTTAAAACTTAAATCCATTTAAAACTTGACTGCTGATATTGATTAATTATTTGAAATAAATAAGCGTTGATTAGCGTTGTTTAGCTTAATAAATATAGAATAAATCATTTCAAGTCGATTAATGTGAAATACGTAATTTCATTTCTAATACTTCAGTTCTATTCTTATTTCACTAGTTTTAATATGCATATTTTTGCCTATTTTTTGAATGTTTTGAAAAAAATTTTAGAGGCAAAGCAATATAGACTTATGCGCACGTTCACACAAAATTATCAACCGTACTTTCTAGGGGCGCGTACAAAGTATGTTCACAAGGTCACAGTCAGTCTTACATAAGGTAGTAACATAGCTTGATGCAACGGTACGGGTCTGGAAGTCTAAGATAATTCTTATTAATGTTGAATTTGGATTTCAAGTTTTTGTTTATTCTGCTTGGTCTGCAGCAAAGCATTTTTTATATTGTCCTTTTATAATCAGTAAAATTTGAATTTAGCAATTGATTATCGACCGATATTATATGTGGCTCTATGTAATATCTGGAATAGTAACGTCAGGCTGTCAATAAAAGTTCTTTGTAATTTTTGTTTTGAGCACTCGATAATATGTTTTTTCTTGATTAAACATGTGGATTAAATTAAGAAAAAGGTGGCGATGGAGTCAGTTTACTGTGGAAGCACTGGCGGCAGGAGAGTCGCTTCTATTTTCCAGTGTTCGAGCCAAGATTACATCACAATTTATACCGGTATCTTTATTTATAGATTTCAAAATTTTATATTGTTTTTTCTTGCATTTTTTTCCGCTTTATCATTGGTAGAAATTTTTCGTTTTAATAAATTTTGAACATTACTTGAATCAGGGTTGTTTTTATGTCTAACTGAGTTGCTTGTCTCTGGAATCCAGTTTTATTTCTGGATTTTTTAGAATGCCTGTTTTCATGTTTGATAGTTGACTTACCGATATTTGTTTTGTTATGTTTAACAATTCCTGACTTTCCAGGTAGATATGGGTCAGATATATACGGTGACCGCAGAAACGCCTACATCTTCGCATGCTCGAATCCCAACAGTTCTTATTCATGGATTTGCTGGTGGAGTAGCTTTATGGGCTGCTAATATTGATGATATGGCCAAAAAACGGATACTTCATTGTTTCGATTTATTAGGTATCTGATATTATTAGTGGTGTGTTTTTTGTTAAAAATTCTTCAATTAACATTTAAAATTTAGCTTCATTATTTTTATGGGAATGGACGAAATTCCATATCTTTTTACTATCCTGAATGCTTTGTTAATTTATAGGTTTTGGGCGTTCATCGCGCCCTGTATTTGCCAAAGATCCAGTACTGGCCGAATTGCAGTTTGTTCAGTCAATTGAAAATTGGAGAAAGAGAATGGGAATTAACAAAATGATTTTAGTAGGCCATTCTTTTGGTTAGGATTTATTCATATTTGGAATAATAGCTTGAAACCAGAAAATTAATTTTATATTTGTATTCTCATACAGATTGTATGTCTAAGAAAATTTGTATAATTATTTAACTGAAGATTGATTTTTTAGATGCCTATAATCTTATAGGTGAACAACATTCTTGTTCTTGTTTTGTTTTAAATTGCCATTTCATTTCATCTGATTTGGTAATTTAATTTAAACTCATTTATCAGTTTATAGGAGCATTTTTGGCAGCATCTTTTGCGCTAGAGTATCCAGAACGTGTTAGACATCTAGTTTTGGTGGATCCATGGGGATTTCCGGAAAAACCTGCTGAAGTTTCACACCAAGTAAGTTCTTAGTTTATAATTTTTTCTTAAATATATTCGTAGAATATTCATTAATACTGGAAAAATTTCTATTAAGTTATTAGAGAAAATCGTTAAAAAATATATTAGCCATTTATTATATATTTATTATATAATAGAGTTTCAGCAAAATTATCCCATTTGGATTAGAATTGCTTCGCGGGCGATGTCATTTTTTTATCCTTTAACAGCTTTACGTTGGGCAGGACCCTATGGTAGGTTTTGTTTTTACTGATACACTTTGAGTTATAGTAGAAATTGATGTTCCAAAAAATAAAAATGCGAGAAAATTGATTTTCAGGTGTTTCAATTATTAAAGCTGTGCGACCTGATTTAAGTCTTCGTTTTCGATGTACTGATCCAAATGCCATTTATGATTACTTCTATCAGTGCAATGCCCAAAACCCTTCGGGCGAAGTTGCTTTCACTAATATGAGCTTTTCGTTTGGCTGGGCTAAAAGACCAATGCTTAAAAGGTTAATAGATTGCCTCATTTGTTGCAGACTTGGCTTCATTTTATAAATATTCAAACTTACTGAGTCGTTTGCTTGTTTTTTCATTTTCTTTATTTTCTTTATCTGATTTTCTTAGAGCTTAACCATATTTATTTTATCATCGAGTAATAATAATCTATCATTATGTTTTTTAGAATAATCAATCTACCACCTGAAGTACCGATGACATTCATCTATGGGAATAAAAGTTGGATCGATTCATCTTCGGGTATTGTAGTGCAAAATGAGAGGCAAAATGCTTATGTTGATGTTCAGGTTTGATTAAATTCTCAAAATTTATGAAAGAACTTTCTTTAATTTAAATGTGAAGAATTTCTTTTAAGACATTTTTAAGAGTCTTTTAAAAATTTTTTTCTTGAAGATGCATATATATTTTAATCTTTCATCTTAAGATAGTAATCCTTTTTGAGTTTGGATAATTCTGTTTATTACTACCCACTTTCTGTGTGACTTTTATTATTTTGAAACTTTGAATCGAAAATTCTAGTTAGTTGAAATTTAAGTTTTTTTTTTTTTGAATTCTCATAGAACACAT